TAAAAATAAATATTTATGTCAAAATATTTTCTATTCTTTTCCAAAACAAATTTCCTTTATTTTTTTTTTTTTTTTTTGAATGATGAGTAATTTCATTGAGATAATGATGAACAAGAGACAAATAGCAAGCAAGGTAAAACACAGAAACAAAGTAGAGAGAAACAAAACAAGGAAGCAACAGAGACCGGAGAAAAAAAAAAAACAAAAGGGTTATAACATAGCTCCTTCTTTAGGAGGGCAGTTGTTGTGTATGGAAGCTTTAAACTTGATGGGTTGATTTTTTGGCAAATAAAGTACGAGAAAAAAAATCGACAAACACAAGCAACAAGCAACAAAATTAAAGCAAAAAATAAATAACAGAAAAAGAACACCATGATTTACGTGGTCCATCACAATTGTGACTACATCCACGGGTACAAACGATCAATGGGTGCAACGATCAATGTTTTTCACTAAATTAAAGAAAGAAAATTATAAGGCAACTTACTTGAGAGAACCCGAGACTCAATCTCCCATAAACGATCAATGTTTTTCACTAAATCAAAGAAAAAAAATTACAAGGCAACTTACTTGAGAGAATCAGAGACTCAATCTCCCATAAAGCTTCTCTGCATTTTTTTCTATGCAAAACCCCCAAAAGTTTCCCTCTATTTTTTCTCTATGCACTTCTTTCTCTACAATATATCTCAATAAGATAGGACAAATCCAAAAGTGCACCCATGTATGACCTACTTTTTCCACATGTGCTTTCTCTCTCTAGAAAAGCATCTTTACATAGAGAATAAAGCACTAAAGATAAGTATGTCAAACCAAATTCAACTTTCCTAACTTTATCAAAAAAACAAAAAAAATGAACTTTATCCCTATCCATATGGACTCAAAGCCTCATCCTAATCTAACTAAGACTTATCTATAGGCTTAGATACTAAATAATAGGCTCTATCCAAATAAATAAGAAACCAATATTAAAGGAAATCAATCCCTTAAATTTAGGGATTCAAGATTTCAAGATAAATATCAACAACGATCAACTGCTTCATTTCGTTCTTGGAAGATATGATTGTAAACAACATCTCTTCCTTGTAAAGCTGAGACGATGATATCCATAGTTGAAGTCAAGGCCCAAGGTGCAACGCACAAGGTCCAGGTTCCTACACCAGGAGATGACATTTGGAGAGTCACCTTCAATGATGAGATGCGAAATAAAATGTTGCAGTTTAATAACACCTTCTTTGAAGGCCCACAGTTCAGCCTCGTTAATGTCATAAAGGTTCGGACTCCCTTGATTTTTCCACATAACTAATCCATTGGAATCTGCCGGAGAGCCCAAAACCCATTAGACTTTCATGGATCTTGAGGCTGCCATCACAATTGGGTTTAAACCAACCTACAGGTAGTTTCAACCACATAGATGTTGGATTTTCTCCCGAAAATTTATTTTTTCAATAATATTACAAAATCCATATTGAAGTATATGTGAAATCTCATGTGATTAACACGAAGCAATGCCATATAGATGGATCCATTTTTAGCTTTAATAGATGTATCACTGGACGAAAAAAGCCAGTATCATTGGAGGGAAAACCGAGTGATGTGTTTGTATTCCTTATATATTGTGGGAATGCTTGGATGACATCTTATTATATAAGTCATTAATGGACTGATGACAGTTTTAACTCATTACATAGGATTAATAGTTTGATGACAACTTGTTATTCCTAATTAGCTGCACTTAAGAGAATTAAGGAGGGAGTTACACTTGGATCTCAACTCCTATAGACTACGAATGTAAGAGTTACAAATTAAATGTGTTCTCTATTAAAGGAGGTTAACCCCTCAAAAAAGATAGAGAAAATGATAGAAAAATAGAGATGGAAGGTGAAAGAGATTCACCAAGAGAACTCTCAAGGTAGCCGGTCACCGGATGGTTTGATCTATAGGTTTTGATATGAAACCTTAAGCCCCTCCTGTAATTTAATGACAGGTGTAATTTAATGACAGATCCGAGTAAGGTAGCCGGTCACCGGATGGTTTGGTCTATAGGTTTTGATATGGAACCTTAAGCCCCTTCTGTAATTTAATGACAGATCCAAGTAAGTTGGTTATCAATTTTATTTATTTATTTATTTATTTATTAACTTTATTTGTTGGGACGAACAAAAGAGGATGGGGAAGGTATTCTCTTATGGAACTGCAGAAGATCCTTGAAATGCGAGTAGAAGTTATCCTTAAGAATAGAATAAAATGGCACAAAAACAAAGATTCCAATTGATGATTAAGATTTGGATTGAGAGATGGTTGAGCTCCCTGCCTTTACCCTCAGAAGTCCTTAGCTTTCTCTCTTTCCATAAGTTCCAAATCACCGTTGCTAAAAGAATTCTCCATAGGACGAGGGCTGAGGCTGAGAAATTAAGGGACCAAATTTGATGAAGAGTTCCATCGATTCTACTGTGAGCCACCCAAACGAAGCCCGAAATCTTTTGGACCCACATCCACAAGGCTGAAGCAACTGGGCAACGCAGGAAGAAATGGTCGAGGGTCTCCTCATCCTTTTTGCACAAGAAGCAAACATACGTGATCAGCATGTCTCTCTTTCGTTTCTGCCAGGGGCTTTACATTTCCATTAGATGGACACTTTATTAATGGCTTCAATGTACTGATCACGGCAAAGAATTTCAGCGAGGACACTGAGAAGACTCCATTAGCTTCGCATGACCATACTAGCCTATCCGATCCAAAGCTAGAAATTTTTGCTCAACTACTAGGTTAACCCTTCCCACATCGACATTCACATCCCAAATGCAATCAGTGCCCCAAGAACCAACCATAGAATGGACGGAAACAGTCTTTTGGTTTGATCTTCTGAAGAAATCTGGGTAGGAGACTTTACGCAGGTACTGGCCCATCCACTTGCTGCGCCAGAACCTAGTGTGAGATCCATCACCAACCACCAATCTAGTGTAGGCTAAAAAGAGAGGTCTAACCGATTGACTACCTTTCCAGACTCATGAGACATGATGTCTGCTTTGTAAGTGCCTAGCAATAAAGCCGCCTGGGTCGCGTCCATACTTATCGAGCAAAACATAGTTCTTATTGTTTCAAATTATTTTTTGGAATTAGGATGGTCAAGCCGGTCGATCACCCTAACTGGCCAAAATTGGCTACAGCCAATGGCTGGTTCCAAGTAACCCAGCCGGTTGTGGTTCGACACAGCCAGGTTGTGGTACACTGATGGCTCCCCTTGTATCAACGGCTCCATAAAATTAGGTGAGAGATGGAGTGGTGGAATGGAAATGTCATCCGTGACTACTATTTTGGGGTCCACTCAACTAAAGAATTCGTTCTGGACTCGGTGAGAATAAAAGATAACCTGAAAGAGCCAGACAGAATGCAGAAAATATGAGAAATGCAAAAGTGGTTGCAAGTTTTTCTCAATGGAACTTTGGTGGCACAGGAAAAATAAGTACCTTGAAAAGACTGCCTTGCCCCAAGAGAAGCCGTTATTCGTATTTAATTTCAAAAAGTTAAGATCTTTCCATAATGTTGAGTAGACAAAAGTTTAGTTTCAAACCCAACTCATTTCGGAATCGGACGAAATTTAGTAGCCTAGATTTATAGTCACAAGATTTCATGCCCCTGCAAGAATATACTGTTCGTTTACTCCTCAGATAAAATTCGTCCTCCAATTAGTTTTACAACCCACATCTTGGGCATGCAGCCTCTTCAACATCACATTAATCTTAGCAATAAGAGGAAAGGGTGTGATTTGTACATGTTGCAAACCTTTTTTTTTTTTTCTTTTTTTTTTCTTTTTTTTTCTTTTTTTCTTTAACAAAGTTACTTCTATTTCATTAATAAAGAAAACAATTATAGATATTAATTAACCTCAGACAAATAAAACTTCAGATACCATAGAATCAACCATATGCACCCCCTTTTCGTCAAACTATATTCCAGCACATTAGCTTCTCGATAAACATAGCTTATCTTAAACAATCAAATCCAAGGTTGCGATTTTCAACAATCAAATTGAGATGCACCTCTAACCTCTAAATTTCACCATATACATAGTTTTAGTGTCAAAAACTCACAGGATGGCTTGGCTTGAGAATCTAGTTTGAACTCTAATTATAAAATTTTGAACTCCAAATATAGTTCAAATTAAGTAGATCTATAAACACTTGAAACTTGAAACTGGATAGTCCAAATAATATGTTACAAAATACAATATTTTCAATACTCAAAATTTTTTTTTCTTTTCATATTCAAAGATCTCAATATAGAGATGATTAATTAGAGTGTTTTTCAACACCAAATCAACTTTTTATGATTGATTTTTGAGGCACACCTTAATTCTAAATTTCAAGATTGCAACATAAGGAAATTTCAAATCGCACTCCATGCGACAATGTCACTAGATTGAATGCGTACCGTCCAACTTTTTTAAAGGTGAGATACGTGTCAAAACTTAAAATTTAAATTGGCTTACGTGGTTACCAAAAGGTAAAATTGAAGAACTCCTAAATTCTACTTTTGCCAGAGGTAGTAGTCACACAATATGCTCCTGCGAGAGCATAGGATAGTGCACGCCTACATAACGGCCATAGTGCTAACCAAAATTTCATAATTCACGTACGGGCGTAAAAAAGCGAGGCAGTGAATTTTAGAGAGAGAAAAGGATGGGCGACCACGTAACCATGGAGGGTGGGTCTACTTGTCGTTTAATATTCGAAAGAGGTCCACATCAAAATCACACGCCAAGGCCCCCCTTCCATAACGTAGGGACATCCTTCGCCCACATTCGCCTTTCCTCACCAATAAAACCCCAAACTCCTATTTAACCTTTGGCACAAAGTGACAAACCCACATTCATTGACGCATTATCACGAGCTCACAACCCAAACTCCTCTGTCTCTCTCTCTCTAACCTAACCAAACCAACAAACAACTTCGTCTTTATGACAAACCACATTAATAGCGGATAACGCGAGAATGGACAGATAGAGAGAGAAAGGATAAAACAGAGCTGCGATTTCTATGCTTTTGGAATCCTTTCTCGTGACAAAATTTCGCCATTAAAACTGTAAACCTAAAACGACTAAAACCAAACATATGGTTACATGATTACAACTCCCTTAAAGAGGAATTCGGGTTTTCACAGTAAAATAGAGGTGGGGTTTGCTGTGTGTTGCATTGTGGTCCGTTTGGCATGGCATATCCTCTTTTTTGTGGTTGCAGCCAGCGAGGCCATTGCTGTCTGAGGAAACTAACTGTTGGGGCGGTCGGCGCTTCATGACAAACAATGGCAGCAGTACAGACCAGGCCCTGCTCCATGTCGGGTAGGGAGAGAGAGAGATGGCTTTCAAAGACCCAATAAGATGTAGTAGACTAGTGTTATGGGCAAGGCGATCAGCATGCCAAATATAACTCTGTAACAACAAAGTATTAGGAAAGAACATTAATTTTGGGAAAGAAGAGATGGTTAAAGTAAAGGGGAATGTGACCCACTAACATATAAATGGTAAATTATATGTGACCCTATTTTTTAGCCCTTCGATTCAGATTGTTCACACTATGATCATGCCGAATGCTGTTTTATTTTTTATTTCTTTTTGCATAACATTTAGATGAAATTTTTGGCGTCCAAACATAAAATTATGGCGAACCTGTAAAAAGTAAAAAGTAAATATTTTTTTGTTAAAAATAAATGATCAAAATGCTCATGAAATTTTGAAAGGTAATATGGTTAATTATTTATAGAATAAAAATAAAAAATAAAAAATTACTGAGTCATTTGATCAATAAGAGTGACTAAAGCCATCTACTCAAATCTGACAGCTAAGGGCAAAGGTCACGAATGAACGTACGTAGGTGGGTCTCATAGCTTCCCCTTAAGTAACCACCGCTAACAAGAAGAAAGGATGGTATTAAAAATGAAAGTGAAAGTCTCTCTCTCTAGATTCGGGGTTTCTCTCTCTAGATTCGGTGAGTGATTAGTTATTTCAGGTATGAGATATACCCGGTGCTCAGAATATCGGGGTGTACGTTGTACTCTTTGGCGAAGACGAAGGGGACAATGCCTTGAGGAAGTGCCGCCTGTTTGTCAATCAAACAAAATAGGTCAGAATAGAAGCACACAGCTACAGAGATACAGTGAAACAGTGGTCTTTTCCTTTTGGCAATCCAAGTTCGGAGGAAGAGAGAAGAGAGAGATTGGGAGAAAGAGCACTGGTATTTTCATTTGAATGGTTTCTTGATTATCCATCAGAAAAAAAGATAGCAGTTCATCAAAAAAAATTAGAAAAAGAGAAAAGAGAAGAATAGTAATCAAATCAGAGAGCAAGAGATGGCGTTTTCTTTTGAATATTTTTTTATCAAGGAGAGAGAGAGAGAGGCGTGCCTTTTTTTTTGAAAAAGAGTCTTGGGTTTTTCGTTTGTCGATTAAACGAGGCCAGAAGAGGTCGGAGAATAGAATCGCTAAACAAGAGAGAGGTATTTGCTCTCTGTTGGAACAGTGTCTGGGTTGCTTTTCCAGTATTTTATAGAGAGAGCAGCGATCTTGAGGAATGCGGCAGTTTGGGTGTAAGATTCCGTTGTCAGGAAGAGAGAGAGTAAAAGAGGGGTTAGTGACCTGTACAATGGCGACGTGTAAGAGGACGCCTCGCAATCCAACAGCAATGGAAGCAGCAGCCATGACAGCTGGTCCGCTAAGGAATCTCACTCCCATCGCAAAAGCTGCTATCGAATTCCCACATGCTATGATCCTCGGCTGCAACGCCATGAATAACCCTGTCTCTCACCACCACAACCAACAACATTAACATCAACACAATCTCATTATTACAACCAATCCAAACCCATTTCTTACTGATAAGAGAATGTTTTGAAGTTAAATTATAAGAACCGAACCAATAAATCAAACCCATGTATTATGAGAAGATAAGATTTTTCCTTCTTTCCTTTTTTTTTTTATCCTTTTTCAAACAAAGAGAAACTCACCCAAACTGAACATAGCCATTCCAAGGCCTGCATCTGAGAGAATCGAAATGGACTGAGCCACAATAGCAGGCATCTTGACGTGCCACCTAAAATCAACACCAAACAAAAAATTAAAAAACCCAACTTAAAAAATCCCCCTAAAACTACACAAAACACTGTGAAATCTAAATTTGTAGATCAATCACATTATTCTTTATAAAAAAGCTCTAACCCAACTTTTGCAAGCAAGAAAAGGGATGACCGGCGCGGCCCTAACTACAAAAAAAAAAAAAAAAAAAAGAAAAAAAAGAAGAAGGGAAAGTATACTGTGATCTTCAAGACAAGAGAACGTGTGAGACCTGAAGGAGACAAGGGACCATGTGAGACCAATCAAGCTGGAATATGTGTTTGGGTTTCGAATAAGCTTCCTCCAAACCATGATGAGAATAAGTCTTGTCATAACACTGGCAGGAGGCATGGACGTGGCTTTTCCATCCGTTGGCCTAGAGTGAAGCTCCATAGCTGAGCTTGAACCGAACTTCCCTTGATTTTGCCCCTCTCCTTCTGCACCTGCGTTCCCAAAGCTAAAATCGCCACGCTCATATTCCTGACTCTCTCTTGGATAACTTTCTCCTATAACAAAACCAAAAGAACAGTAATATGAGAAAAGGATTTGAAGTGAGAGAAACACTGAGAAATTTCGAAGCAAAAAATCCATACCTTTCGATGGTGGGTGTTCATTTGTCGGGGATACACCAACCCTTACTTCTTTAGAAGCCCCAAACTCTTGATGCTGTCCGAAAACTTCCGATACAGGAGAAGCACTCGAGCTCCAGACGAACATGTGCAAATCCTTGGCTCCCTCATTTTGTTGCCCATTAGCACCTTTAACCGCGGGCTTAGTCCCGCTATTAGGCGAAAACATGGCAGGATTGGGAGCGGGATATTGAGCAATGGAAGGATTAGGAGGAGCAATGGGAAGAGGGTGATTCTCTGAAGAACCCCTTGCGAATCGCGATTTGTGATGGTAATCGCTGTCCTTAGTCTCGTCTTCGAAATTAGAGGGCCTGGGCGTTGGTCCCCTGCTGGAGTAGAGATCATTAGCTCCAAAATTGGAGTGTCTTGGGCTCATATTGGGGTTTGGGTTGCCACGGCCGGCGATCATGGAGTAGAAATCAGTGTGGTTGAAGCTTGAACCTCTCGGCGTTGGGTTTCGAGAGGATTGCAGAGAGTAAATCTCAGCGTTTGTGAGATTAGAAGGTCGAGGAGTGATTCCCTGCGATCTTCGAGAGAAGATATCAGAGCGAGAAGCATTGGACTTCCTCACCGTAACGTGAAGCTTTCCATCTTCTCCAATCTCAGCGTTGGTCTCCAGCGGTTCTCGGCCATCTAGAGAGAGAACATCTGAATCCACAGTGAAGGACTTAATGGCGGCCGCTGTGTCGGGAAATTGCTCGGTGATAAGGAGCTTGGCTCCCCTATATTCGAACAGGAAGAGCATGAGAGTGTACCATATGATGCACTGAAGCACCACGATCTGGACCATGAGACTCCCCGAGAAATCACCATACATGCCTTTCAGTAAGGGGATACCCATGACCAGAGTGTTAGGCAGTGTAGAGAGAGAAAACAGTGTGATGGTCCATTCCAGTGTGCCCCTCTTACTAACTCTGCACCATACTGCTAAAACACCGAGGACAATGAGTTTTTGCAGGGTATCAGCTGCAATGAATCGAAAGTTCATGGAATAAGGATCATTAGCGGCGATGAAGTGGAAAGAAAGCAAAGGAACAGCGAACAACGCCACAAATCTGTTGATTCCTGAGCACTGATCGGGAGTGAAGATTTTCCACCATTTTACTGAACCGTAAGCTAAGATCATGGCCACATAGAGTGGAACCACCGCTGTTAAGACATGGTAGAGGTCCAATAAGCTGATCATTTTCTCTCTCTACTTCTGCTCCGAGTATTAGGACTGGTTTAGAGAGAGAAAGCACGATGGTTTTTAAAGGGGAAATATCAGGGAGGAGCATGTGTAGTTGAACTTGCTCAGTCGCTTGCAAGCTTTGGGAAGAGGTTGAAGAGGAAACGTCTTTTATTGTTTTGGATTTGGGTTAGAGAGAAAAAAGGGGTATGCTTTTAGAGAGAGAGAGAGAGAGAGAGAGGGGGAGCCAAGACATCGCCGTCCATTCGTACAGTATCCCCCTCTCTGTGCACTACATGAGTTTCGTTGGTCCCCGCTTTTTGAGCCTTTTATTTTTGGTTTTTGCAGAGAGAGAGAGAGAAAAAATATGCGGTTTCTCTGTGCATGGGAAGTTCCCCCTTCTGAAAAGAAAGTGAGAGGGGCCAGAGCGAGTGAATGATTAAAGTTTTTAGAGAGAGAAAGAGGGTTTTATAGAGGGGCGGAGCCCACTCCACTTGATTGCGCTGAAGAATTGAGCCCTTGAGTCGGCGCAAACTGCCGAAATATCGGGATTTTTTCCCGGAAGAAAGGACTTCCTTTCAGCCCCCTGCTTTGTGTCCTTTTGCTTTTTTTTATTGTGGTCATTTCTCTTTGACATTATTAGGCCTTGGGATATTTTCTAAAGGATGAAAGATAGCACAAATCATTTCAGTTGATTTGCTAGCCTTTGTAATTAATTGCACATCAAAGCAAAAGCACTCATCTATAGTACGTGTGTTCTTTTTTGTGAAGCAAGTCAAATGTTTATGGGAAAACCCATCAAACTTAATTTTAAATTGGAGAAGTTCATTCTCTTCCTTTTAATAAAGGATCAGTATGATCTTAAGTGGACAAGCTCCATTATATTTCTTTTCATGGTATTATGCGTAAGTGAGCTTAACACTACAAACACAATTTATTTGTTTACACATGAGGCTTCTTATTAAAGGGATTATTGGCCTTGCCTTTTTGTGAGACAAGGCCAAACTATGGAGAAGAGGTACGTTGGCTTAGCATTTTGGTCGGGATTAATTTTATGCATTACTGATTAGAGGTCCACTTTCGTGCATGGAACAGAGAACATCCAAGATGTAGAGTAAATTTTACATTTTCAAGTACAGTCATAGCAATACTAATGCTAAATTGTGTCAAACCAGCATTCTAGGACTCGGCCGAGTCGAGCAACTCAAGCTCGCCATATGGGCGAGGTGAGTTCTGCTGTACCACCACTTATGTGTGTTATATAAATAGGTGCAGTTTGTATAGAGTCAAGGCTCTAAGCAATCGAAATAAAACGCACCTTCAAATAATATCGAGAAATGTGGTTTGAATATTGGAAATCTTTGTGATAGTCTTAAAATACACTTTCATATTTAGTTATAAAATTTAAAGCTTCAAAAATAGTGTCGATAGAGTAGATCTATGAAAACTTGAAAATATTGGAAATTGACGGTCCAAAAATGTGTTACAAGATGCACTATTTTCAAAACTTGAAATCCATTTTTTTCTCATGTCCATGCATCTTGATGTTGAGATGATCAATTTGAAGATATTTGGACATCAAAATAACATCTTCTAGTGAAATTTTTGAGGTGGGCTCCAATTTGATTGTTTAGAGCCTCGGCTCTATATAAACATTTTTCTTATATAAATTGAGGGTGCGGTTTATATAGAGTCGAGGCTAAACAATCAAAATAAAGCGCACCTTCAAATAGTATCAAAAAATGTGTTTTTAGTACTTAAAATCTTTGTGATAGCCTTAAAATATATTTTCACTTTTCATTATAGAGTAATGATCCTATGAGACGCTCCCACACCCAAAGTTTCAAAAATAGTGTAGATCGAACAGATCTATGAAAATTTGAAAATCTTGAAAATTGATAGTCCAAAAAGATATTTGGGCATCAGAATAACCTCTTCTAGAGAATTTTTTAATGTGGGTCCTAATTTGATTGTTTAGAGCGTTGGCTCTATATAAATTTTTGCCCTAAATTGATATGTCAAATTTATTTCTAAATCGTGCGAAGTGCTTGCTGGTTAGCATGTTAAGAAAAGGAAGGTTATAATATATTCATCTTTTTAGTTTTTATTTTATTTTTTTACTCGATATGAGTTCAAATAAATCGCCTCGGCCAAGTGGCCGAGGCGTGTTTCTTATCAAAACCATAAAATTGAAGTGTTTGGGAAAGAGTATTATTAAGGATAATCCAATGAACTTGAGGAACACACATATTTCACAATCAGCGTCCTAAGGAAAGTTCGTAAGTTATTTACTCAGGAAAAGCACAACGCTATAAAAGCACTTTGCCATTGGTGAGTCTGGGTTCCTAAAGTGGTCGAATAATGATATTGAAGTTACACTCTTGCTTGAATGAAAGTGGCAAACATATATAAGATAGAATATTCGTAATATTTTGTTTTGGATACGGGTGCCTAGAATAGTTGGTACATCACACCAAAGTCAAGTCACAAAGATAGAATAAGGATATGGTACTATTGTCAGAGACTTAAGAAATTTTGTTATTTTTGTTAATATTTATTTTTGAAAGTTCACCATAAAATTATTTAATATTGCATAAAGTCTATTTTCTTAGTTATCTAAATGATTTTAGGATGTGTCGTATATGAAAGGCAAATTTTAAAATTCATATTTCTTGACTCTCATATCTAAGTTAAAAGTTGAAATGTATGTATAACCTTATCTAACTTTGGTTAGAATGAAGCTCACATTGAAAAAGAGGCTGAGGTCATGGTGGTAGCATATCCCCTATATAAGTTGTGACTTCCATTCCTATTAATAGCTTCAAAACAATCTACTAACTAGTTAAAAAATGAGCAAGGGCCTCTCATCCCCACTGAATCACCCAAGAAAAAAAAAGGTTCTCTTAGCAAATGTGGTCATACGTATACAAATGCTATAGTTCCTAGTCATGCCAATATTAGTTCCATCAATCCCTTCACAAAACTGTTTAAGTGAGATAGGTGTTGTACTAGTATAGCAGTATGCTTAACCTTATGTAGAAGCCTATGTCGCACCTAGCCCTCCCTATTTGGAAGACATGTTCCTCTATTTACTTTCTTTTGTTGTTACATACTTTTGCAAATGTGTGTTTCCATGAAAGAATCTCATTTTCCATTGAATAAACTACAAATACAAGCTACAAATCCACAAGAATATAATTTGCTCCTAAATTTTTTCATGATCCTACAAATCAAGTGGAGAAAATGAAGATACGATAAATATCGAGTGGCTGTAATCTAGTGGTAAGAATTATATTGATTTCAAAAAAAATGAAGGTAAAGTATATGATGGTGGCCTCATCCTCCTTGTAAGGCAACAATGAAACACAACTTTGGTTTGGGGCTAGATGGTTGCTTCAATCATTCTTCAAGTAAAAGCGAGCATTCAAAGTTGTTGTGGGTCATGGCACATGGGCATGGAGGAGCAACTATCTCCACTCCCATTTCCCCCTTATGGGTTTTTGCTTTTGGCACTTCTTGAATGGGTTTTTGTGATTATTGCTTGAGGGGGGGGGTGGATTTGTATCATATCACATCGGGTGCCTCAATCATAGTGTGGGTCTTTACCTCCATTCCACACCCTCTTTTGATCTCTGCCCCAAAGAAACCACCTCCATTCTTAGTTGTATCCCATTTTGATCTACACTTCACAACTAAAGGTGGCAACGGTACTGTCCGGGCCTATGCCAAGCTAGCCTCGGGCCCTAGCCTGGCCCTTGCTTTCATAAGGTTGGCTCAGACCTAGGGGTAGCACCCTACTAGACTTAGGACCTGATGGGTGTACCCGACTTTTGTGTCTAGGTATGGGTCCAACTTTTGGACTTGAATACCATTCGGGTCTGGGTCTAGGTGCGGGTCCGTAGTTATATGGTGATCATGTGTTTTTTGGTACGTGGTAGGTGTTCATGTTGTCATCATATTGGCAACATTTACAGTATTATTGGTAAAAAAAAAAAAAAGCTCATAGTCATAGAGTATATGATAGTAAAAAAAAAAACAAAAAACAAAAAAAAAAGCTCATAGACCTAAAATGGCAATGGATCCGACCAGACCCTGGACCTAGCGGAAAGGCCCAAGACCTGACGGGTCAGAATACGGGTCCAAATACTATGCGGATTCAGGTATGGGTCTAGCTGTACCCAGCCCGTACTTGACCCGTTATCACCTCTACTCAGGTCCCGCCCTTGTCTCTATAGGGCCCGTCCAGTGTCAGCCCTGGCCCTGTTAGGACTTGGTTGGACCGGGCCGATAATAGCCCTGGCACGGCCGTTGGGTTACCGTTGTGACCCAAGTGCTACTTTTTTAGGGCCAATCGCACGCCATATTTGAGAAAAAAAAAGAAAAAAGAAAACAGAAGATTGTTTTGTGAAAACCGTTAACCATGTTGGTGTTTGTGCACAATACCAGGTAATATTTGTATGGCCCTCAGCTTTGGTAACGCACTTGCAAATTTATAATTCTCAAATTAGGGTTAGGAATTTGTGCAGCCTCGAATTTCAATTGAGAAGCCAAGGCATGATGACACGCATGCTGTTCGGCTCACCCCCACACATTAATACCAAAATACTTACATTCATTGCACGTGCGAGACTGGCACCAAGACAGTTGGGTTTTGTTTTATGCGTTGTATTTTGAAGAGAGAACCAAACGCTAAGAAGACATGTGGGACTGGGAAGAATCCCTAGGCCCTCGTGTCTACACTCCATTTATTTATTGCTCAAGGGACCCTAGCGGGAGGGCAAGGTGTGAGGTTCGATGGCTCCAATGGGTGCGCTGTGGATGGAATGCAAAGGGGTTGTTAGCACGAGAGAGAGGAGAGGGAACGTTAGTCTTTGTGTTCATTTATATATCTTCTACGTACTTTTAAACCTCGAAAATAAAAATGATCCTCAAAAAGATTCGGCATTTTACGAGTAGTGAAACTAGATGGATGGGCCCTATGCCAAAGAGGTCCAAGAGCATTTCTAGGCCCAAACCCAATCCCACAGTCTTTTATGATGGGAAGCATTAAAAGAAAAAAAAAAAAAATGTTTGAAACCGCTTTTAATAGTACAAATCAGCAGATCACGTATTGCATTTGAGGGTATAATATTAAATTTTCATATCAATCACATATATTCTCAAAAAATAAATTGCCCCGATTTAGTATTCAGAAAAAATAATTAGGGATACTTTTGGTAGTTTTAACCCTTAAGTCAGCCTTAATTGAATGATACTTAAGGTAAAAGTATCAATGTACCCTTAATTGTTGTTGCTTTCCAACACTAAATAAAAGCAATTAAACAAAATTTAACTTATCATTTTATGACATACTTAGTTGATATAGAAATTTAAAAGCATTACTTTGTAGTGTATTTCGTAATCTGTTGATCTTTCGTAATATTGTAAGGGGTTTTAGC